GTTACCTTTCTGAGAACCTTCCTCTGTTGCTTAGCATTTATTTTTTCGTATAAACTGAACGTTTTTGATTTACTGTTTAAATGTCGTTTTAATGAATCGATTTTAGGCCAGCGACTCGTCTAACGAATACCTTAGAAAACGCCACTAAATAGGAAGTGACGGAACATTTGTGCGACATGCATATTGAAAGATTACTGTGACTTCTTTTGTTTCTGTGTTGGCTGTATGTCTTTATATTGATCGCTATGCTGAATGATGAGATGGTCATCTGTTGTATGATTTTTTTCTTTGTGATAAAAAATACATAATTTGCCAATTGCTATCTTTTAGCTAATCTGAATTACGTTTTCTATGAAGTGCTTAATATTACAAAGCGCTAATAAATGTTTTATTTCCTGATCCATCCCCTGATTTTTCCTTATATGATACATCGTATTGCAAAAATGAAGCTGCAAAGTAAAGTTTTTATTGTCTTTCTGTTTTTCTCGTTAAATCGCTGGCAGTAAATTCTCACATATCTCGTTTTTGCCTTGTAGTGTTTATGACCATTTGTGTGTTTCTTTTAATCGCGTTGTCATTAAATAACCACCAAGAAGTTTGTTTTGATATGAGCGATCATCGGGGTAATGATGTGTAGCAAGTATTTTTTGAACCACTGCTGCATGAAGGCCTCCAAGACTTTACCGCAAACTTCTGTTTTCTGCGATTTGTATCCAGTGAACTTCTTTAGTTCATCCTGCCGTCGATCTGGATTTTCGTACGGACCGTTTACTCTCTTTAAATTCAGTCTAGTATGTTTCTGGTTCAACGATGATAGTGCTTCTTGCAGCATGGTTTGACCATTGCCAATTAACTTTTTCACTTAGGCGATATCATCGAATAACTTGTTTATGTTGTTGTCCATTTATTCGTCCTCCTGTCCTTTTTTATTCCAAGTTTTCAGACTTTCGACGCATTTTTCATGCCCATTCGTTGGTGCTGATGGCATATATTAATTAACATTTCAAACCTAAGCAGGATTCTTTTTGGTCTTCCCATGTCATTTTTATTCTTTTGATGATTTCACATAGCAGGTTTTCTGTTACAGAAATGAGCTGTCTCAGAGAGACGTAGTTTTGTACATCTTCAGGCCTGAATTAGCTTACTTTAACATGTCATGGGGTCGCGTATTTCGTGCACATCACCTAGTTTTCTTCTGTTTCATTTTCGGTTCTACTTTGAGACTAGCGTTATTCAGCATTTAGATTCTTTATTAGAGTTCGGTGACTTTCAGATTGTATGAGCAACGTCCGTAAACTGCAGGCAGCTTGCATAGTGTCCGTTTATCTTCATTTCTAACGGGAATGCCTTGATAATTTCTTTTGGGACTGTTGTGAATAACTTTAGCGATATAGCCTCATCCCGTCTGTCGCCTTTTTCGTTTCTAAACTTGCTTGTGCTCTCGTAACGTTTCACACTGGCAGTTTTGCTCTTGTAAACAGTGCGATGATTATATATTTTCTCGATTCCGCAAAGATTACGTATAGAACAAATGTACGGATGTAGATTGAATCAAAAGCCTTCTCTAAATGGTGTGAAATCAACTAGATATGTCATTCTTTCAATACAGAACGATGATAATCAACGAAGTAAAAGTTTTTTGAAGTTATTTTATGATAACCTAAACATATGGTTTAGGAGATGGTGCTAGTTTATCTGAAATGTACTAGTTTTGGTTTGATCTTTGGATTTGCCAGTGTGTTAGCAAGGGTGGAAGAAGAAAATCAGCTGAAATAATTACCACATACTTTTTTGCCTGTTCTTCGGATTTTATAAACGACAGATCTCTGTTTACCTAACCACGGGATAAACGTGATTTTAGCTCGTTGAGATAAGTTCTTTTGTGTTTAGCATTGAAATGTCTACGTTGATGCGTCCTTTCTAAAAATTTGTTTCCGGAGTAGTACTCGTTTTTAGGACCGTTATGCAATGGTATCAAATACAGTCTTGCCATTTCCTCAGTTTTAACCTCACTTACGAAGATTGTAGCGTTCGTTCATTATGCGATGTTTTTTCGCGCTTGCATATAACGTTGTTTCAGCCCTCTTATTTGGCTTTCATGGGCTATTGTGGGATATGCATTTTCGTTTCAGTAAAATTGGTATAGCTCTCTGCAGTTTTGGAACAAAAACTTTTGCAAGGAAGTGAAATTTGTAATGTGTAGAGTCTATATCTAAATACCGCATTTTTTAAAAATGTTTTGAACAGTTCAAAAGTGTTTTTTTAAACAATAGTCCTGCTGATAATACGAGAAGAAAGTAGCTGTTGTAGCTCTGAAGACAATTATTAATCGGGTTCTGACCATCCATCTTCATTTACACCAGTTTGTTTTGAGTCTCTGGTTTAATTCAGAGACAGTTCTCATTTGAAGTTTTTTCTGACTCAGTACTATCGCTAACGTTAAACGTTAGCTCCAGATGTAAAGACACCAAAATAAGTGGGTAGATTTTGCTGAGAGGCCGACCACTGGATTCCATTAAGTTATCCATACAATATGCATCATATATATCCATTAACTGAAAGTATCCGTGTAGACACGTATTAATGGTTAATTCAGTTTTTATACCTCCTTGATTTGCGGATTGCCATGGCAAGAACGGACGGTGACGTCAGTACATGTTTGCATTTAACAACTACGGTACCTGCTTGTACAGTGGAAGGGACCAGGAGCTCATTGCCTTCTTTTGCAATGCCCCTTTCATTCTTTGATAAGATTTGCTTCTCTCGGTGATCCTCAAGGCATTGTTGGTGATCGCATGGACATTTATTAATAATATGATTTCACGTGCTAGCTGAAAATATTGATATCAGAAAAAGAATATTCCAATCGAAATTGTGCCCTGGTTAGGTCAGCTAAAATTCCGCATCAGCTGTTACACGGATTAACCACGTATGCTTAAGAAATGCTCGAAAAGCATGCTGCTATCTTTCTGTTATGCTTACGCATCAGCTAATCTGGTTGTCACATCGCAGATCACTGAACCCTTTTTGCGTTTAGGATGACAGTTAAAGGTGGCTTATAGATCACAGAGGACACGCGTTCGCAGTCGGAACCATCAACATCAAAAGAGTGTGCTACCGGGTATTTAGTTCAGTACTCTAGAAATCGCTGTATGTGAGTTCTTTTTGGCTAAAGTTCTACGAGTGTTTACTTTTTCAGTGAACCCTGGGCAGGATATCCTGGATTATGTATGAGCTGGTTTCAAGGCATTATTCTTCGGGATTCGAACTCACCTTCTGATACTGCTAGTGTAACCTATATCGTTTGTGACGAGCGACATTGTTCAAGCGAGTAAAGCAATCTCAGGTGC